ATGAACGTATGATTACAATGTAGGCCAGGGAGAACGCGTCTGATATGATAGTTACTACAGTGTAGAACATGCACGTGACGAAAGACGATCCCAGTGGAGTATCTAAGCCAAAGTACAGTTGTAGATATTACAATATATAGGACATACCATATATTTTTATATGTTTCAAACATACTAGCAAAGAAGTCAAAAGTCACGTTTTTTGAACTTCTTTTTTTTTTCTGTAGGTTGGACCGGTTTGTTATAGACGTCCACACTAAATTAATGAGCATTAAAGTATAATGTAAATGATCTAACATTGACTTTCGTTAGGGTTCACTTCAGATAGGGCGCTCTTTCTTAATTTTAGTCTCTATTCAGTACTTCTCTCCTTCCTTGTTTGCAACTAATACATTTTAACAAGCATTTTGAAAAGTTACATATTTAGTGCAATTCTTGTTAGAGATATTTATGGGGTTTTGAGTACTACATGGTAACATGATTGGACTTAGGTGTGTAAATAATACCATGGTATTGCGCCTAATATATTATTCAATGTTATAGAGCGGATCAACCGTTTAATGATTATGTTACAAATCTCTTATTTTCGCCAAAGATAAAACTGAGGTGATAGCAAATCAAATAATGCGTTAGACTTCTACGTCACGGAGTATATTTTCAATTTTTCCTTTGGCGAAAAGAATATAATTTTCTAATATAACCATAAACCCTACTAGAGATAGTCTGAAAGAACTCAAAGTGTCACATGAAAAACAACGAGGTTCTTTTTTTAATTTGTTTATCTAAACATTGATATAATTTATGTTTTTCTTATATGTTTGACACATAAAAAACAGAGTACAAAATGTTTTATATGCGTAGAAAGCATGATCTGATTAGAAATAAATGAACAGAAGAGGGTGCTATTAACATATTGTTACGTTTGTGTGTTCGTTTGTTAATTTTCCGTAGAAATTCTTTCCGAGAAACTTCAGCGATACAAGTCCTTTCTTAAATGAAACTAGTATATTCTTTCTCAACTCAACTTTGCAATACACTTAATTTCCACAGTAACGTTAACTTAAACATATGCTATAATTCACAACGAATCACACACTTTACTTACGGCTTGACTCGATTATTTGTTTTATCTCCCTGTCTGCTATTCATTTATCTTCCATCACTTTATTTGCCGGCTTATATACTATAAAAGCGCGAGTCTAGCAAACGCTCGAGCCTTCAGGAACGTTCGAGATACTCATTACGTGTTACCAGTGTGACGTGACTTCCGCTGTCGTAACAATATTTATACTATTAAGCAATATAAGTAAAAGCCTTAAATTTGAACAATTGGCGAAAAAGAAGATTATATTTTTAAATTCTGATACTATTACATTATTAACTCCGTAAGAGCATTACTGATATTTCAACATATGACACTTGGAACTGTTATATGATTCTATACGTGTTGATGTTTTGTACACCTAGTGAAACGTAGTAATTTTTAAAAAGAAGTTTTAACCATATTTACTTGTTTACATGTAAATAAAATATATCATATACTTTTTTCACTGTGCTATGACAGTACCTTTCTCCAACACCAGTAGATTTAAAGGATACTGTTGCGTCAGCGAGGTCACGTGACTAGTATCACGCCACGTCCTTCTAGAAATATCCTGTTCCTT